GCCATTTCTTGTCTCCTCTAGCTTTTCCTTAGCTGCAACTGAGCAGAGAATGATGACTTTCTTCCCTCACCCAGAATAAGGCCGTCCCGAGTGCCTACAGCGAGCAATGGAGCCTGGCGCCTGGCCAGCATGGTTTACTCAGGTCTGCTCAGGCAGGGGGAGCCAGGCCAGGGTGCCCAAGAGGCTGAAGAGACAGGCCGCGGGGAACTAGATTGGCAGCACCCTTCGGGGGGTCAAATTCTCCCAGGCATGTGCGCTCCTTGCTGAAAGAGAAAAGGAAACAGTGCCAAAACCACTGGTCGCTTGATTTGATTCTGCCCAACTGACTACTGTCATCGATGACATACTGATATCCCTTCTCCCTTTCAACTGGAGTTGGAGGGCTAGTGGGTCTGGCTCGTGAGTACTCCTCTGGGTAGTTACCTAATGGGGAAGATTATCTCCTTTCACAGACAGAACTGTTCCTGCCCTTGGCTGCTTGAAGAACAAAACCCAGTCCAACTGAAGTCACATGCCAGGAAGTTTCAGAACTTCCTCACATACCATATTGCATTTTCTGTGGAGGTCTTTGACATAGTCCCTGCTCGGATACACAGAGGGGATGCAGAGCTGAAGAATAAAATAGAACAAAACCCTCTATACTAGGGGAAAAGACAGAAAGAAGAAGGAAAGACACTTGGAGAAAAATGACAGGGCTGTTCATTTAGGGGCGCTTGCAGCAAATAATTTGGTATAAGGAGAACAGTTTGTTTAGATGGAATTGCTACACTGAAGTCCTTTAAAATATGAGCTGTAGATTCAGAATTTTGTAATGCTGTAAATGGAGCCCTCTTCTGGAGAAATTTTTCAACAGGTATTGAAAGAAGATAAAAATGTGCAGATACACACACATGCACGCACGCACGCACCCTGAAACCCGCTGGCTACTTAGATGGTCTGGCGGCCCTCTGGGTGTGAACTCAGTCCAGTTTGTCCTGTCCCTTACCTTCTACCAAACAGAAATTCACTGGGCACCCCCAGCAACTTGGTTTTGAAAGGAAAGAAAGCAGGAAATTCTCCAGAACCTAGCTGCACTCTAACCTAAACAGTGAACTTCAGATCGAGGCTCCATTTACACCTCCAGATGAAGGTACTTCTAGATAATGCAGTTCTTGGGCGCACTGGTTGTTGGGCGATTCCACTGTAACACATAGAGGATACTTCTGGAAGGATAGAGATTTTACTTCATGGAAAACCCAAGGGCTAAACTCAGAATAGGGACAAGGGAGGGCTGGAGTAGGAGAGGTGGGCTAAGATGACTGTGAGGGCCTTTAATACAATCCATGGGACTACCCAGATTCCAGACCCCATACTTGGTCTTGCAATGTACTCCATCTCTTTTGGGACTTGCTGAAAACAATGTTCAGACACGTGAATGCTTCCACGTTGACTCCTTTCACCACTCACACTCTGTCTCCCCAGTGCTTTTTTTTTTTCTTTTTTTGGAGAGGTTTTGCTATAGGGCACATGCACTCACCAGAAAGACAGAGAGACAGAAAGCGAGAAATCACCACCCAGGGGGGAATGGCCACACCGCAATCCCTTCTCCTCCACTCTCCTCTCGGGATCTTGGGCATGCACGCACATGCGCCTGGTGTGAGTTTAAGCCACCGGGTCCAGGACTCGAACTGCAGTCGACTACGTGGGAGTCCAGTGACACAGCCATTACACTAACTGCTGGTCCTCCCAGTGCTTTTGAAATCGTAAAGACTGCCACACGTTGGACTCACAGAAGGGTGGTGCTCTCTACAATTCAGTCTTCTATTTATTGAAAAGGTTCTTCAAGTAAACAATGCTTTTAAAACACATGAAGTTGAAGGAGTACCAGAACACCCTGAGTATCGGATAAAATCCTAAAAATGAACATTCTGATTCTGAGAGAGAACTCCCCACTTATGACCAAAATTTCAGAAAACTGTGGAACAGTTTTAGTCACTCCCAAGTGACTGCTCTCCAAACCTGAACCACTCCCTAAATCCTAATTCTTGGGGGATTACTCATTCATTGTTAGAACTTTTGGTTGGTCCTGTAAGCCCTACCCAAATTGGGGGGAGGGGAATTTTCTGTGGAATTTCTAGCTCAGTTCTACCTTGATTTGTTTCACACTCCTTATTTACCATAGGCACATAACTGAGGCCGCTTCTGGGAGGGCCTTTCCAAAACACCCAAGGGAAAGAAGTGACGATTCTCCAACTTTGCCAACTTCCAGCCTTTGTTACTTAGAATTCCTTGCTTCTTATCCAAGTGCCTAGAATAGCAACCCAGTCAATAAACGTATAGAGATTGATGGCTCCCAAAGCCAGAGCCGGTGCATTACAACCGTGGTGGAAAAACACACAGACTTGCCGGAACACCACCAGGGCCGGGTGACTAATTTGCTTTATTACATTGTTTTTCCCTTTCTTCTATTTTCTCTCTGCCTCAGGAAAGTTTTGTTTTTTGCTTATTGACTCAAAGACTCTGAGACT